TATCTAAGATCACAAAAATATTTACAAAATATTTAAAATAAATTTTATAAATATTTATAAACATTTTGTAAATATTTTATAAATATTGTGTGTGGGGAATTTTTATGAAACAAAATGTGTTAAAATATCCAAGAAGCAACAATGCAAGCATGTCCAAATGAGATTTCGTCAAATTGTTGACATTGTGTATAAGTAGTCGTTTGGAAATAAAAAATCGAATTGATTTGTAATTAATGATGTTAAATGTATATGATAAACCTAACAGAATTATAAAAAATCGCGATTTGTTAAAATCATTCTTTTGTAAAAGAAAGTTCTTTTTTGGACATTATTTTTTTCATTAAATTGCCAAAAAGTTATTACTGTTTTAAAAAATTTATTATATTTTTAGATTTACTGTATGGAAAAAATAGTTGTAATTAATGTGTAAAGAGCGTAGATCAGCGAGTTGAGCCGGTTTCTTTCTACAATGTTAGCAAATTTGAAAAATTCACGTTTAGAGAAAAATGCGTTTAAAGTTTTGAATTAGAATATTTCTGTTTTTTTTAGTACTTACAATAAATTTTTTTTTCTACTATTTCTGGGCCATAAAACGGCTCATGTAACTTCATGAAATGTTTCTTTGTTCGAAGAATAACAGCTATACGGCGCGCCGCGGCAAATCGAAACTCAAACGCGCCTAATTTGTAAAGGGTGGGCCATCTATTGGTACGTTTTTGAATTTCGTCGTATGGCAACACCAAACGAGCTACAGACCCGAAATTTTGACAGTTTATTAGTCATACCGTCCGCGGCACGAAACAACATGTTTTCTCTTGAAGAGCGTTTTGAAATTTTAAAAACTTATTTTCAAAGTCAGTGCTGTGTCGCCGAAACTGTACGAATTTTGAAAAGAAATATGGGTCGTGATAGAGCACCCACCGAAGGAGCTATACGCAAATTGGTGAGGAAAGTTCGTGAGAAAGGGATGTTAGTGGATGACAGAAGTGGTCCCAGAGCTCGGACAGTGCGCACACCCGAGAATATTGAGGCTGTGGCCCAAAGTGTGAGACAGAATCCGACGACTTCAACTCGACGCCGATCGCAGCAACTGAGCATTAGTCGCACCAGCCTGAGGAGAATACTGCACAAAGACCTCGGATTATTCGCCTACAAGATCCAGATGACTCAGGAGTTGAAAGCAAATGACCATCCGCTTCGATATCAGTTTGCTGTGTGGGCTATAGACCAGCTCAATAATGACGTCGATTTTGGTCGAAAAATCATCTTTTCGGACGAAGCTCATTTCCATCTCGGCGGATATGTGAACAAGCAAAATTGCCGGATTTGGGGCTCGGAACAGCCACACACAATCGTAGAGAGACCAATGCATCCTCCAAGAGTCACAGTTTGGTGTGGATTTTGGAGTGGTGGCATAATTGGCCCATTTTTCTTCGAAAATGATGCTGGAAACGCCGTTACCGTCAATGGCGAACGCTACAGAGCCATGTTGACCAACTTTTTATGGCCTCAAATCGACACTATGAATGTGGACGACCTTTGGTTTCAACAAGATGGCGCCACATGCCATACAAGCCGACTTACCATCGACCTTCTGCGCACCAAGTTCAACAACCGCATAATCAGCCGTTCAGGAGATGTCAATTGGCCTGCGCGTAGCTGCGATTTGACACCGCTGGACTTTTTCCTGTGGGGTGCCGTTAAAGACCGATGTTATGCGGATAATCCAGAGACAATTCCAGCTTTGAAAAACAATATTACGACTGTTTTGAGTGAAATTGGCGCCGAGGTAGTCCAAAATGTCATTAATAATTGGGGTGACCGAATGGCATACTGTAAGGCCAGTAGAGGGAGCCACATGAACGAAATCGTTTTTCATTCTTGACGCGGATACTTTTAGCTTCACAACAAAAAAAAAATTAATAAAAAATATCAATGTATGCTCATTTGATCGCATTTTTAAAAACGTACCAATAGATGGCCCACCCTGTACGTATGTACTATTTCAGTAAATCGTGAATAACTCCGTTATTCTATGTTACGTATTTTTATGAACAATTTTAGTAACATATTTTCAAAACTATAAACTTTCCAAAAATGCAATAAAAAAAAATCTATTTTTTTTACTCTTTCTAAACCACCTCTTAATTGACCAATTAATCCATTGGAATTGATCGATCGCATCTGCTATTAAACGAAATGATAAATGCGATTGGTTAATTCCAATAGACTAATCAGACAATTAAGTTAATCGAAGTTAGTAAAACTAACCCTTAAGAGGAACCCTAAAGCCATCTATATTACCGATTAAATTGTAATTTCTTTATAATAATTATTTTTTTCTTTTTTTACAGATTCAAAAATTCTCTTTCAGGACTAAAATATATGCATTAATACGAATCTGTGAGGTGAAATTTATGCCGTGAACAATAAAATATTTTTCTTACGATTTTAATTTCGAAATTTTTTATCGTTCTCGGCATAATCTCACAGATACGTATTAATGCGTATAATTTAATTATGAAAAAGAATTTTCGAATCTGTAAAAGAGGAAAAAAGTAATTGTTATACAAAAATTACTATTAGGGTAATATAGACGCTTTAAGATCCTCTTAAGTCCGATAAATACGTCGGATGTGGCAAAACCCAACAATTAAGGGTGTCCTCAAGGGGGGAATCTGATTTAGAACATCGAAAAGTAGCTGTTTTTTTTTGTAATTTTTTTATGAACAATGAATTTATGAAACTATGAAGTCGATTTTTCCAAAACTTTATGAGTGATTTGTTATATATGTAAACTTTAAAGCATATATTGTGGAAAATTTGATTTCTTCTTGGAGTATTAAAAAGTCCTTTTCCTTGGATTCTTTTAAATAAAATTGAGTCGCATTAAATAGAATTGAGTTGCGTAATGAGGTTTGGTTACAACGGAGGTCCCTTCTCTCAATCGATAGGAGTAGAACTTACCAGGGAGGTATGGAAATCTTCCTCTGGAATCTTAAGGATTATTAAAATTTTTAGGAGAGGTTTGGAAATTTCCTCCTCCAAGAATTGGACTGACTTTTAGAAAAAGTTTGATAACTTCCCCCTCCAAAGATTTTAGAGTTGGATAGATTTTCAAGAGAGGTTTGGAAATATAATAGAAGGAGCAAATTGTGCC